TTAGGACGCAGCAGATCTTCACAAGTGGGTACAAAGCTTTTAGTTCTTCTAGACATTAACAACTGAGCTGGACTCTTACCAATTTCTTTGAGTGGTGTATTTCTCAACTCAAGAAGAGCCTGCTGAAAGTCGCCTTTGTCTTCTCTCACTTTTTTTAAAATACTCTTAAATATCTTTACAGCAGATTCAACTTTTCCATTTGCCTGGTGGTGATATGGAGAGGAAGTAATTATCTTAAATTTCCACTCTTCTGAAAAATCTTTAAATGCTTGACTTAATATAGGGGTGCCACTATCACCAACTACAATGTCTGGAATGCCGTATCTTGCAAATAACTCTTTACAGAAAACAATCAATGATTCAGAGGTACATTTTTGTGTTTTCCTAATCTCAAAAAATGACGAATAGTAATCAGTCACAATAATGAAGTGAGTTGAGCCTTCTTGAGCAAAATCAACCCCGATTCGCTGCCATGGTCGTGATGGTGTTTCTTGAAGTAAGAGGGGTTCTTTCCGTTGAGTCGGTGCATATTTCTTGCATACTAAACATTTTTCAACTTCTTTTCTTATATCTCCTGCCATTCCCGGCCAAAAAAATACATCTTTTGCTCTCCTTATACATGATTCAACCCCTTGATGTGAAGAATGAATTCTATGGACTAGTTCAATTGTCATGCTACTTGGGATAACAATCCGCTCTCCTTTGAGGACAAGTCCGTCTTCAACTCCAAGCTCTTCCTTAAAAGGCCAGTAATTCCATAGCTCCTTGGGAACTTGAGTCTTTCTATTAGGCCAACCATTTATAATCACCCGTATAAGCTTCTGAAGCACGGGGTCTTTGTATGTGTGTTCTTTCAGTTGGTTTAAACGCTCATCCGTAACATTTATGTACTCTAAGGACTTACACTGTTCAAACTCCTTTGTCGAGCTGTTCATTGAGGTTTCAAAAATCATTACTGAATTGTCCTGCATACTGCATTCATACTTAGTTTCTGGGGCGCGTGACAAAAAATCTGCTAAAAGCATTGTTTTACCTGGTCGATAAACAACAGTAAATGTAAACTTCTGCAATCGCAGCAACATTCTTTGCAACCGCTTAGGTGCGTTGACCAAAGGTTTTTTGAAAATAGTCTCAAGAGGTTTGTGATCGGTTTCTACCGTAATATCACACTTACCGAACAAATACTGTTCAAACCTTTCAAAGGCAAATAGAACTGCCAGGCATTCTTTCTCGATCTGAGCATAGTGGCATTCTGTTGGATTTAAAGTCCTTGATATATATGAAACTGGCTTACCATTTTGCAATAGCGAAGCACCCAAACCAAACTGACTTGCATCACATTGCAACGTCACAGGAGAGTCCTTATTGTAATACTGTAGGGTTGGAGAGTTGGTCACCATGTTAACTAATTTCTTGAAAGCCAATGAATGTAATTCCTGCCACGTCCACTTAACATCTTCTTTAATTAGAGTTCTTATTGGAACTGCTACTTCTGACAGTCCTGGCAGAAATTTACTTAAATAATTGATAAATCCCAAGAACCTTTGAGCTTCCTCCTTGTTCTGAGGCTCTTTCATATTTGAGACTGCTGATATCTTGTCAGGATCTGCTTTCAAGCCATCACTGCTCAAAACATGTCCCATGTACTTAACTTCCTTCAGTCCGATTTTACATTTATTCATGTTGAACTTTATATTTCTTTGTCTAGCTCGCTCAAGCAATGCATGCAGATTCTTGTTATGGTCCTCTAAAGCTTGTTCATCTGTGTCTCCACTGCCGTAAACTACGACATCATCTGCAATCGTAAAAATTCCTTTTAGTCCTTCCAGCTCTTCGTGTACTCGCCGTTGAAATTCTTCTGGAGCTGACTTTACTCCGAAAGGCATCCTTAGCCAGCGGTACCTCCCAAATGGAGTCCAAAATGTCGTTAATTTGCTTGCCTCTTCGGTTAACTTTATATGCCAGAACCCATCTTTTAGGTCTAGAGTACTAAATATCCTGGCTTTTATAAGTTTTGGAGCAACTTCTTCTATAGTGGGGACCTGATAATGTGACCGCTGGATAGCTTTGTTTAGTTGATGTGGGTCAATACAAATGCGTAACTTGTTCGGTTTCTTAACGACAACCATAGCACTGACCCATGAGGAAGGTTCCGTTACCTTACGTATTACACCTAATTCTTGAAGACGTTGTATTTCACTTTTTATCTCATCTTGTAAAACCAGAGGATATCTTCGAGGTGGAACCACTACAGGAACAACAGATTCGTCAAGTCTAAATTTATGTTTACCCTCAAAGCATCCTAGACCTTGACCAATGTCTTGAAAAGAAGATAGAATGGAGCTTGGATTTGGAGAATTCTTTAACTCAAAAACATCCTCATCTACTGCAATAAGCCCTAACCGTAAACAGTCTTGAGCTCCAATCAATGGAATATGCTTCGTATTGATAACTTCAAACGACATTCTTTGCTTAATATTCTTCCATATAACATGCAATGTTATTTTCCCAAGAGAAGCCTTTGAAGCACCACCATAGAAAGTAAGCGTTGTATTACTTTTTTGGAGGACTGGACGATCAACTCCAACCAGCTCCTTCAAAATATCGTAACTCATTACATTGCATGTCGCCCCGCTATCAAGTTGACATTTTAGCATTCGATTACCTTTCCTAAATGGGACTTTCAAATGGACGAATAGACGTTTTTTTGGAATGTCATCTTCCATTTCATATATGTCATTTTTGTCTACATAATCTCCAGGAATGGTATCTTCACAAGCAGAGCTTACTACTTTAATCTTTTCTTTTGCTTTAAGGCACATTTTAGCAAAATGATTGTTTTTTCGACATAAACTACACGCTTTTCCAAACGCAGGACAGTAACTTGCTCCTCTTTGGTGTTTCCCCCCACAGAATTTACACGAAAGAAGTTTTTGATCACTGTTTATTCTAAACGACTCATTAACTATATTTTCCGTAGAAGGTTCAGTCTCGTTAGTTCTACGTTCATTGATTTTTTTAGCAAGATTACTAGCCTGCTCATCAGAAAGACATATGCTTGTCGCATTATCAAGAGTCAGATCTTTTTTTGATAAGAGCCGTTTTCTTAAGTCATTATTTGATAAACCTACTACTAACCTATCACATAAGAGCTGCTCTTCAATTTCAAGCCTAGATAAATTTGACAGTGACTCAAATTCACATTTTCCTATCATTTCATGTAACCTGTTAATATACTCTTTACAAGACTCATTTGGTGATTGTGTAGCACTATTAAACATAAAGCGCTCAAAAGTAACATTCTTAGCATTATTAAAATAATCATCTAGTCTATCAATAATCTCATCAACACTGGCCTTGTCATTGCATATTTTATTTATTAGCTGTAATGTTTTACCTCCAATGAGAGACTGGAATAAAGCTACCTGAACTTTTTTGCTTGTTATCTTGCTGCATTTTGAGCCACCACACGCTTCAGCCAAAGTTAGATAGTTGTTCCATTGGACCTTGAATAACATCCATTTCTCTGCTGCATTTGTTTTGTCCGAAATGTCAAGTGGATCTGGTAGAGGTATTCCATTCATTATTGTAATTCTTCTAATAACCTGACACCATGTTAGAAAGCTTAATTTAAGATAAACTCACAGATTAACAAACACTTCTAACATTATTTTATTTTCATGAACTGAAAAAGAATTGTGTATATAAAAACTAAAAACAAAACATTGGCAGATGACTCATTTAAATCATTTAAATAATCAGCTGACAAAAGCAAGTAAAGACTATTTGAAATAAATTCATTTTACCAACAACTATATAATATATTCCTCTGGCAAACGTATACAATTTTCATATATTCTGAACAGATTATACTATATCACCGACTTAATTCCACTACATTTCAGGAAGATTGGTTTCTTTTTTCCAGCCAATAGTAAACCAAAGAAATTTTCTTTTCTTTTTAAATTTAACTAATAAGCGAAGAACATGGAATGTCTCGTAGCAAAAGTGTATTCGCAAAAGTCAATAACTACGATTTAAAGATGCAACAAACAATAAGTTTGAGATGACTTTCGAGTGGAAATATCTATATCTATAAAAGAGGAACTATGTATGTATGTATGTATGTATGTATGTATGTATGTGTGTGTGTGTGTATATACGTTATGGACTCCGAAACCGCTCGACAGATTGTAATGAAACTTTCAGGCATTATTAAGCATCTTTCAAGGATGGTTCAAGTGAAGTTTGGTGCAGATCCGTCAAAAGGGCTCTGCCCCAGAGGGTTTTAAGTGGGCCAATGTCAGACTTTTTGATCTACAATGTTTACAAATAAATATAATTTAAAAGCAGATGTTTACTTTCACCAACTGTGTTTTGTAGGTTTGAATAATCACAACATTCTGTATTAGCATTAGTCGTTATTTGTAATAGTGCCACAGTGTTTCTACAGAGTGCAGCACAGAAAACTATTTTACTAAATAAGTCCAAATGTATTAAACCCCAATCGCAGCACACCTGTGCACTGAACAACGTTTAAATTCTCCAATGTTAAATATTAAAACATAAAAACCTTTATCAAAGTATTATAATCAATTAAAGGGATGACTTTTTTTAAATTTATGACAACAGCTAATTTGCAACCAAAAGGTGAGTGAGCGTAGCGAACGAACATCAACCTAGAGGCGAGTAAGCGTAGCGAACGAGCTAACCTGAAAACAAGTGAGCGACGCGAACGATTTCCAACCTGAAGGTGAGTGAGCGTAGCGAACGAACTTCAACCAGGAAGTGATTGAGCCATGCGAATACTTATGAAGTTAAGCGGGGCAAAGCCCGCGGGTACAGCTAGTTAGAATATAAAAAAAGACAGAGTGTTGAAATAGAAGTAACTGTGTTATATAAGAAATCAGAATAGAAAAGTAAACAGCATTTGATGATTAACATTTTGGTTGCTATGGTAAAAACTGCTTCATATGTTCATAACATTCTCCCCCACTTAATCACTGGAGAGCAAAGTCCTTAAGATAGGACGGAACCTTGCGCTGTCTGGAAGGACGAGATAATTTGTTTTCTTTTTGTTCTGTGGCTTGAGGTATGTCTAGATTTTCTTCCCTTAGAGTACCGTCTAGTTCTGTTGGATTGTGTGAACTTGATTCAGACTCTGGGTGGATCTCTTGTGGTGGTGCTTGACAGTCTATAATAGGTATCCGTCTTGGAACACCAGAACTATCTTGTTCGTTGTGTGTTTTAAATGTAACTTTCTTCTTGGATACAAGAGTCGAAATCAATTGATTTATGTGTCGTTTTAAACTTCGTCCAGAATCCAATTCAACAATGTAATGGTATTGACCTAATTTTCTCTTGACTGTACCAAACTGCCATATGTCTTTATTTCCCAGGTGAACTCTTGCCTGAACCCTCTCCCCCACTTTAAGAGAGCGGACACGAAGAGGAGCAATTGATTTTGATGGAAGTTTGGCCTTTGGGTTAGGGAGAAGTGTGTAAAGTCTAATCCGAATCTTCCTGTTCAAATACAACTCTGCTGGAGTCTTGCCTGATGCCAAAGGTGTTGCTCGATATCTGAACATAATGTTTTGTAGCTTTTTGGTAATCGGGGTTGGATCATCGGCAGCAGCAATAAGTCTTCTCTTTAAAGTTTGTATGTTTCGTTCCGCCAGGCCATTTGTTGCAGGATGAATAGGAGCAGTAAATTTTTGGAAAATCCCACGTTCTTTACAGTAGTTGATAAATTCCTCACTTTTGAATATAGTGGAATTGTCCGAGACCAAGAACGAGGGGTACCCATGGACTGAGAAAATGTTTTCAAGTAGTGCCATCGTCGTTGCTGAGGAAGGAGTATTTTGAAGAATGCGAACTTCTGCCCACTTTGATTTTGCATCTACACACATGAGGAAATAATTTCCATCCAATGGACCGGCATAATCAATATGCACTCTTTCCCAGTTATCATCAGGCTGATCCCAAGGATGTACCGGAACTTTTGGTGGATTGTGACGAACTTTAGCACAAGCTTCACAGCTTTTCACTAATCTTTCTATGTCTTTGTCCATACCTTCCCAATATACATATCTTCTAGCAAGCTGTTTCATTTTAGTAATCCCATCCTCGTCGCCAACTGAGATGACTTTCGAGTGGAAATATTAGAATATAAAATAAACGGTATCAGCATTCTGACACATACTTTCTCCCATAAGTTTGTCAACAACCTTTATCATGTGTAAATGGTGAGAGTAAATATACGGAAATGGGATTTGTACAATTTTGTTCAGAATTTAAAGGACTAGGCCTATAACATACTAAATTTTTATCAAAATCGTTCGGGCCATTTTTGGGAATATCGTATTTTTCCGTTATTTTATGGGGTTTTATGGGAAAATCCCCATCTAAAATCAAAATTTCTAAAAAATGAAAAAAACTATCAAAATTGTAAGGACCATAACCTACTATGTTAAATCAAAACTGGATTTTTGTCTAAAATCCTATTTTTTGTTATTTTATGGGGTTTTTATGGGAAAATAACATAATTTACCATAACTTTTGAACCGTAATTTTTACAGAAATGGGATTTGTACCATTTTGTTCAGAATTTAAAGGGCTGCAACATACTAAATTTTAATCAAAATCGTTCGGGCCATTTTTGAGAAAATACAATTTTTCCAGTTTTTTATGGGTTTTTATGGGAAAATCCCCATTAAAAATCAAAATTTCAAAAAAATTAAAAAAAGCCTGTAGATAGCATAGATTAGAACCTACATACCAAATTTCATCGAAATCGGACCACAGGTGTAGTCTCTAGCTCTGTACACATCCAGACACACACACACACACACACACCCACACACACACACACACACACACACACACACACACAGACATCACTTCGAAAACCACTTTTTTGGGTCCAGGGGGGCCCAAAACGAATATATCCACTCAAAACTCAAACTCGAAAATTTTGACGAAAACAATACTTTCTCCATATACTATGGTATAGGGGGAGAAAGTAAAAAGACAGAGTGTTGAAATAGAAGTAACTGTGTTATACTAGAAATCAGAATAGAAAAGTAAACAGCATTTGATGATTAACATTTTGGTTGCTATGGTAACAACTGCTTCATATGTTCATAACAAAGTTCTAATATCTAATTGTTGACATCCTGACATCATAGGCTAAGAAGCACATAGACTACCCTCACAACACGAGGTCTCTCAGTATGTGGCTACAAAAAATGCACAACGTGGCGATGTAAGGTAACAGTTTGTTGTACCTGTTACAGACAGATGATGGTTGCGGACAGCACGGATGGCTGTGACGCCACCATGTGAACCTCCCAGTGTCAGGTACCTTAGTATTTGGCGACAACGTATACACAACGTGGTGATGTAAAGTAACAGTTTGTTGTACCTGTTACAGGACAGATGATGGTTGCGGACAGCATGGATGGCTGTGACGCCGCCATGTGAACCTCCCAGTGTCAGGTACCTCAGTGTGCGGCTTCTACATATACACAACGTGGTGATGTAAAGTAACAGTTTGTTGTACCTGTTACAGGACAGATGATGGTTGCGGACAGCACGGATGGCTGTGACGCCGCCATGTGAACCTCCCAGTGTCAGGTACCTTAGTATTTGGCGACTACGTATACACAACGTGGTGATGTAAAGTAACAGTTTGTTGTACCTGTTACAGGACAGACGATGGTTGCGGAGAGCACGGTTGGCTGTGACACCGCCATGTGAACCGCCCAGTGTCAGGTACCTCAGTATGCGGCTACTACATATACACAACGTGGTGATGTAAAGTAACAGTTTGTTGTACCTGTTACAGGACAGATGATGGTTGCGGACAGCACGGATGGCTGTGACGCCGCCATGTGAACCTCCCAGTGTCAGGTACCTCAGTATGCGGCTACTACATATACACAACGTGGTGATGTATAGTAACAGTTTGTTGTACCTGTTACAGGACAGATGATGGTTGCGGACAGCACGGATGGCTGTGACGCCGCCATGTGAACCTCCCAGTGTCAGGTACCTCAGTATGCGGCTACTACATATACACAACGTGTTGATGTATAGTAACAGTTTGTTGTACCTGTTACAGGACAGATGATGGTTGCGGACAGCACGGATGGCTGTGACGCCGCAATGTGAACCGCCCAGTGTCAGGTACCTCAGTATGCGGCTACTACATATACACAACGTGTTGATGGAAAGTAACAGTTTGTTGTACCTGTTACAGGACAGATGATGGTTGCGGACAGCACGGATGGCTGTGACGCCGCCATGTGAACCGCCCAGTGTCAGGTACCTCAGTATGCGGCTACTACATGTACACAACGTGGTGATGTATAGTAACAGTTTGTTGTACCTGTTACAGGACAGATGATGGTTGCGGACAGCACGGATGGCTGTGACGCCGCCATGTGAACCTCCCAGTGTCAGGTACCTCAGTATGCGGTGACTACATGTACACAACGTGGTGATGTAAAGTAACAGTTTGTTGTACCTGTTACAGGACAGATGATGGTTGCGGACAGCACGGATGGCTGTGACGCCGCCATGTGAACCTCCCAGTGTCAGGTACCTCAGTATGCGGTGACTACATGTACACAACGTGGTGATGTAAAGTAACAGTTTGTTGTACCTGTTACAGGACAGATGATGGTTGCGGACAGCACGGATGGCTGTGACGCCGCCATGTGAACCTCCCAGTGTCAGGTACCTCAGTGTGCGGCTACTACATATACACAACGTGGTGATGTATAGTAACAGTTTGTTGTACCTGTTACAGGACAGATGATGGTTGCGGACAGCACGGATGGCTGTGACGCCGCCATGTGAACCTCCCAGTGTCAGGTACCTCAGTATGCGGCTACTACATATACACAACGTGGTGATGTATAGTAACAGTTTGTTGTACCTGTTACAGGACAGATGATGGTTGCGGACAGCACGGATGGCTGTGACGCCGCCATGTGAACCTCCCAGTGTCAGGTACCTCAGTATGCGGTGACTACATATGCACAACATGGTGATGTAAAGTAACAGTTTGTTGTACCTGTTACAGGACAGATGATGGTTGCGGACAGCACGGATGGCTGTGACGCCGCCATGTGAACCTCCCAGTGTCAGGTACCTCAGTATGCGGTGACTACATATGCACAACATGGTGATGTAAAGTAACAGTTTGTTGTACCTGTTACAGGACAGATGATGGTTGCGGACAGCACGGATGTCTGTGACGCCGCCATGTGAACCTCCCAGTGTCAGGTACCTCAGTATGCGGCCCGCTGCTGTCCTCACCCTTCTGGAGTTCCTTGTAGTCACCCTCACACACACTTCTGCCTCTCCCGAGTAAGTTTAACCCTAAAGCAATCTCTTGAATTTAATTTTATCGTCTCAATTCAATAATGATATCTGTTTAAATAATATTAATATATTTGCCTGCATCTTATCCTTAACTTAATTTGATTTAGGAAAGGTGGTGTAGTTCCTTACCCATCTGTGCTTATGCTGATTCTTCCGGGATTCTTATCATAATTTCTTGTAATTTCGGAATAAGTTACAATATGAAATATCCAGTAAACGGTACAAAACGTTTTAGACTGTTATCCGACGGAGAAAGGCTATGTTGTTATCCTTTCAGGCATGTTGATTAACAGGGTAAGTTAAAAGTAAAGTGAATCGTAAATAATCTATAGGAAGACAATTTTTTTCCTTCAACCGTACAAAGAACCTTATATTTAGATAACATAAAAATTAAAAAAACGAGATTTACAAAAATGTGAATTAACCTTTTGTTAGAACAATCTAAATCTAAAACGATTTTAATTGAATAGACAATGTTGATTGGTGGACTGAAGTTTCTTAGTTTTCTATTCAGACCAGAGAATGTAATATGAACGGTTACGTTCAACGATACGACATTTTTTTATTTAAATTGTATGGGAAATACAACCCAAAGCAAACCTGCACACAAAGGGAATTTCCATTTGCTCGATTAGATTTTCAATTAAATCTATTTCAATAACATTAGGTTTAACGAGTATCTAGGTTTATTACAGCTACATGGAGAGTAATAAAGTGTGTTTATAGTAAATTAATAAAGTGTGTTCATTAATAACTTTGTCAACCATAAAATAAATAGATTTGCCAATTTTGATCAAAATATATCCATAAACAAGCAAACTAGTTTAAATATTGCATTATTTTTAAGCATCTTATATGTAAATTTCATTAAGTTCAAAGGACATACAACCAAACTATATTTTAAAAGCTCATTTTATTTCTTTAATATAGATTCACTAGCAGAGTACCCGTCCTTCGTACGGGGTTGGCATATAAGTTTAAATTGCTTATTGCAGTTATACTCAAGCTTTGCGTTTGCAATGGGGGAGGAAAAAGTTTGATAAAATTTGCTTCTTTAAATTGACGGTATACTATGGTATTACACATCTACCATAGCCATAATGTTCTACCTCTTACCTAACCAATTAAGAAAAATAAATTATTAAAAATTTGCAAAAAATCACAATTTAGTCATGACTTAAAAAACATAAACATAACTGTAAACAATCCTACTATGACAGTTCTCATTGCGTATCACAGTTGTTTGTTGCTGCTTAGTTCAAATTAGCTGTTCACATAAATGGAAAAAAATATAGTGCTGCACCCTGTTGGTAAATCTTATAACTTTTTAATGCCTTTGTATATCATAACACCCACTTTTTTAGTTGAAACAGCTGACTAAATTCTTTAATCCCCTTTAAATATGAAAACTCATAAGGTTAACATGGGGAACTACAGAGCCACTGGGCGGAGCCCGGAGGGATTTTTTGAGATAAGAATATGCCTATATGTTAATCAAGAATGTGAGCTACCATCATGCCAAATTTCAGCCCAATCCATCCAGTGGTTTATGCGTGATTGACCTTCAAACACACAAACAAACACACACACAAACTTTCACATTAATATTAGTAAGATTTATAGATGTCTTATATAAACAATTAAGACCAATAAAACTGTAAAACGATTATTTAAAAATACTTGTTTGTGTTACAGAGCCTAGCCTACTGAAATTGGAGTA